GACCTTTTTATTACCTTCAAAATTTTCGTTGGTGACACGCACAACCATGGGCTTTCGCAGATAATCTTTGAGGTAGGCCTGACTGTAATCCTTTGAGAACATCTGATTGCACAGGGAAATAAATAATGTTACTAAAAAATTAAGTATGATTTGCACACAAAAAAAGTAAGTATGATTTGCACAACCACGCCCGTCCTCCTCTTTGTATCTACATGATGGCATTTTCACTAGTGAAGTATGATTTGCAAAAAGAAAAGTCCAAGTGTTTACCATCTTGTTCTTCCCTGTGATGATTGTCGAGCGAGTGACGGTGCTGACATAGTATGGTATGGGAGGTTGGCACTGCTTTACTATGGATTTGAGATCCTCGTTTAGCGATACATGGTTGCCGGAAGACGAGATCCTCGAAAGTTCCTTTTCTCACAATTATTCCCGGACGTGTATCAAAAAAATTAAGATGACAGAGTAGTAAATAATTTCATATGTAAGATTTAGAACATCAGCATTGGGTTAATGATCAATGCCTACTCCAATGATCAAGAAACGAAGGACATAGATAACTCAATCACATCCACCCAGCAATATCTCTTAGAAACATGGGCAAATTGAATATTTGATTTTTTTAAACTAACAACTAAACACTCCTCTATGTAAGCTCTAGCTCAGTCAATGTTGATTTGGAAGGTCATCTAGAACCCAAACAGAGTAATGTGTGGTAATCAAGTGTCACTCAAACATAAACTTTTGATATTTCACGGTTCATTTAATATTTGACCAGCCATATAGAACTTTACCCCGTAGTGCCAAGATAGGATCGTGGTCCACATCTCCATCTCCATCAGAACTATCATCAGTGTCATAGTCGCTAGAGGTGTCGCCATCAGCGCTATAGCCGTCACTCCCATGTGAAGTGCCATCTGAAGCATCATCTGAGGTGGTCCGGTGATCACTCTCTTCACTGCTAATGAGGATGGTTTCCCTTGCCATTCAAACATGTTGCATGCATTGCAATGAACAAATGTTAGTTATCGATATATGAAATCAGTCTTCCATTAGGACTTGTTAGCACCATATACAATGTGAATAATCTTTTCGCATACTTCTCCCTAATTACGTAGTTCATGTATAAACATCTACACGAAAAAGCTAGTCAACAACTATTCGCACGACTAGTCAAGACTAGTGGTTAGACTCATAATCATTGGGCAGACATAACCAATTAGGATATTTCAAGGTTACAATTTTGTGAGCTGGACAAGAAAACTTGGTAACCAACCAATTAGTAGCCATGTACAAATGAACCATGATTGACTGCTCTCATCAAGCAATACATGAAACTATAACTGATCTATGATCACTGCAAATTTCCTGATGGGCTGTTGTGTGGTACCATCAGGTAATAAATATAATGTCTTTAAATTGTCCCAACAAAACAAATAATGCATTTGCTGCTGTACATACCATTTTTAGAGGTAGCTGTGGAGGTTAATTTTCCAATTTCCAGTGAGAATAAGGACATGATAGAATCTCTCAAGCAAGATGACAGCATAGTGAAGGCTATGAGAATGAGCAAGGTATGCTGACCAATACTCACCCTTTTGTATACTTGCTATTTATTTACTCATTACTACCCATACCAACAAGTAAAATCATGATTATGAAGTATAATGGCAGAAAATCCAACAGTGAGAAAATCCAACAGCAAATTTTCATTGACCCCAACAAGCCCATACCATATCTTGGAGATAGGCTGACATAATTCAAGTAAGCAGTAACAACAATCAGCAAAAATATGCACCAACCAAAAATATTACATGTGTGCACATATCATCAAAAACATGCACCAATCAAGAGCAGTCTATACTTGACAAATCCTTCAAAATATACACTAATCATCATACTACCATCGAGTAATACATGAAACTATAATCGATCCTCATTCCATCATTACAAATTTCCTCATGGACTGCTTCTGTGCTAGCCTTTTTAGTTTTTAATAACTAAGCATCAGCAAATACATATACACAGTCTTCAAACTATCCCAACAAACCAAAACATGTGTATGCTCCCGTGAATATACTTTTTCTATATCTAGCAGTGGGGGGTCATTTTCCAGAGGGAAAAACTACTTGATAGCATCTGTCAAGAAAGATGATAGCATAGTGAAGGCTATGTCGACGAGCAAGGTATGCTGGCCAACACCCACCTTGCTGTAAAATTACTTGTTGCAATATGACCTACTAGTTGACAGTAAATCTGCGAATACCCGAAATATGCACACAAGCAAGTGTAAGATTTAAACATGGGCGGAGCTACCAGATCAACATTCGAAGGACAGGGAAGATCAATCTTACCTTGGAGTGGACTTGTTTGAATCTGGCACCACCGGAGCTTCGGGCGGCGCGACCAGGATTGGGGATGAAAAGTTGCGGTTGTCTGACCTTGCTGTCGACGAAGCAGTGCAGAATCGTGGCCGGAGCAGGGGGACTGGGTGGCCTCGCGGATCCAGCGTATTTGAGGACGACGGGGGCGGCCAAGGTGACGGCTTGGCAAACCCTAGCCATCGCCCTCCGCGTCGCCTCTCTGTCTCTGCAAAGAACGAAGTGGAACGAAGTGGGGTGGGATTGGGATGGGGTTGGGGTTGGGATTGGGGCCATCGCCCACTTTTCTCTCTGCCTCCCACTTGTGCAGGCCCACAAAAGGAACAAAGTGTTGGGCCGGATCAGATGCAGATTTGGCAGCTTTACCAATTCTAGCCAAACAGAAAAAATCATCATGACCACAGGTGTTCTTTTGAAGAAACCCTAAAAATACACTGCTGTTCATATTGCATGTGGATGAGTCTTTCAGTACACCAATTGATCTTGAATAATTTCAAGCACTCCACATTATATATATATATATGTGAAAATAATGGTTAACCAATAAAATGGTAAATTATTAGATGCAAGGTTACAAATATTTGAAAAAATCAATAATTGAATTGTATGCATTTTTATGAATAAATATAATAAAATTAACATTTATGCAAAAACTATGATATTTAAAATATTCATTGGTATTTTAAAAAACCCCCGCAAATGACTACTTATGCCAACCAGAACTTCTTCAGGGTTTCGTTTATTCATCTATTCTTTGGCATGCTGGTTCTCATAACGCCTTCTTCAGACCTTCTCTTTCTCCGACAAATTCGTGAGATATTGGGCTAGCGCCTTGTGTTTCGCCCTCACACCATGCTTCATTTGGTATCCTTTGGCAACTCCTTCGGCGTGCTCAAGAATACTAACGAAAGCCGGGTCCAGATATTTGCCACAGAACGTGCAACGATACGCCATACGCTTAAGCACGTTGCACTGTCCATTCTCCAATTCTTCAAGGGTTTTCTGAGTGTGTGCATCCACCTCTCCTTGGAAAATGTCCGCATAATCATGAGAATAAGGCTGCAAGTTTAAATTATGTATGATATAAGCTGCACCATTGTTTACAGTACCTAATATTCCCTAAGTTTCATACTGTAGTGCCTATAAATTATTTTTAAAGTAAATATTTATTAACTTTGAAAATTTAAGGAGAAAAAAGCAATATCAAATCCATATGAAAGCATAAATCATATGATGTACTTTTAAAAAAATTGTCAATAAACATGCACAACCTTTATGATCTCTGACTTTTGGCATAATTCCAAAACGCACTAAATTGTGGAGTGGATGAACCATTAATTTCCATTATGCCAATTCAACAATGTATTGATGGTTTAATGATTAACCTCTAACCTAAAACTTGAAGAGAGATCTAGGGTTAAAAAATTAAAATTACCGTAACGGAATTCTAGTCCATGCCGTGCATGTGCTGCTGCTTGTGATCGACGATGGAGTACTGCACCTCGTCGACACGATGCTTCTCTGTGTCGGACACCGAGTAGTCCAAAGCTTTCTCATGGGGATCCTGATCCATGAGATGGACGACGACGTTGGTGGTTAGCCCCGCTAGTCCACGATCTGTCACGATGCCATCCATGACAGGCCCCTCACGTCCATGGCCACGATCTGTCATGACGACCAATCAACCTCCACGAGTGGATTTCATATCCGGCGGCAGGGAGGCGGGTGTGTGAGTGGCGGCGATGGTTTTAGAGCGTAACCTAGGGGGAGAGATGCGGGGAGTAATTGGTAGTTACCTACTATAGAGGAAATACTTATGCGAAAAATTGATTGGTCGGCGTTGGGCACCTTCAATGCAGCGGCGCTTAATTAGGATCCTAGAAAAAAATCACAAGCGTAGGCGCTTGGGGCAGGAGCTAGGAACTGGACTTTGTACATCTATGTGATGCAATCCAAAGATCGTGTCCGGGGTGGATGGGGTGGGGATTGAAAATTGTGTACACAAACCCTAATTCTCAAGACTTGTGAAAACATCAGATCAAATTGTCATCAAGTGATCTAGTATTACTTGGATCGAGACTTTGTGATCATCATGTAGCCACGCCACAAACACGATGGTTCTAGTATTACTTGGATCAACACCTTAGGCAGCAAACTAGTGCATTTCCTTTTTGAGTCACCATCTTCCTTCTTGAAAACCACATGTACACACTCATCATGTATACCATAACACATCAGAATCTGTTAACGAGCGCTCACAAGCTTAACTAGCTTCAAACAAACCTAGCCAATCAGGATTTTATGCTACTTAATCTAAATGAGCCAATGATTAATGAGCACGAGTTTAACAAGCAGAGATGCCAAACCACACACCAATTAACATAGTTCTACCTTAGTGCAACGCTTCCATATATACAAAAGCAAGCACCACTTAGTAGTACTGGTGCACATAGTTCGACCATCTTCCATATATCCAAAAGCAAGCACCATAGTAGTACTGGTGCACATACTTCGACCATAAACCTTCACCAACAAAGTATAGCATAGGGTAGTACTTAGCATAGTTAAAACCAAAAGAGCATCAGTTCTAGCTGCGAGGGTGCGTACTTCCCTAAAGCCTCAAAGAAGCCTGATCAAGTAGTCGGCATACGCGGCATGCTTCACCGTGAAAGCGTAGCCATTCTTGATGCTGCCTTGGGATGTTCCGACTGCATGGTTGATGGTACTCGACAGGTCGCCTTTCATCACCTTGTTGTAGAAAGGGCATCCGTAGCCGTTTCCGAATCTAGGCCTCACAGCTTTCTCAAGCTCACCACTCTCCAGCTGCCTCAGCTTCTGCCTCCTGAAGATCCTCTGGGTTTCTTGGTCGCTGTCAACGTCGTCACTTAGGACCTACATGTAGTAAAAAATGTTGCACAAGTATATTTAATATGATAATTCAGCAGGCACATTGTCTATGAAACATAATGTAATTGGTGACAACGTAAAATATCTGCAAATGACGTTGAAAAATTAAATGCATAACTTATTAATTGCTACATAAGCAACTAAATGGGATAGTCCATATAGTAAAAAAATGAAGGATCAACCGTACATGTCGAAGAGAGCACTAGCATTGCCACATTTTGCCACACATTTTTCCCAAGCTTGCCTAAGGTTAGTTCATCAAAATGAGAGCCACAAGTTGGCAAGCCTAAGGGAACCTTGCCACACTTTTTGTGTGTATGCCATATGGGACCCAAGTGTGGCTTGCCTAAGGTGTGGCTGGAACCAAACACTCACTTAAGTTGGTCAAACTTGCCTAACCTTAGGTATGGCAATCTTTGGCAAAGTTAGTCACAAACCAAACAACCCTTTAGTGCAACAAAATTCACTTGTTACGTAAAAATGCATGAACTGATGATGTAACATGGCAGAGTAGCATACAGATGTACTAATGCAAAAAAGACTTATAACTTACATGCATGACTAGATAAAATAGCTCGTGAGCTGTATCTATTTAGGGTTAGAATTTTGTGTGCTTATGATGATGGATATTGAAAGTCCCCATGTTATCATCGTGGAAGTTTCCCCTGTTGATCGATACCCCACCCATCAATGTTCCTGAACCATTCAACGTTCTAGGTAAAGTAGTTAATTATTATGAATTCTGACAATAAGTGATCCCAAATGTTGTACTTACAAAAAAGGGTTTTTTATCATTTATGCCACTAGTTGTGTCCCACAACTAAGTATCGCCACTAGGAATTTCTACTGCTAAAAAAGCCATTGTTTTGTTAGACACATGCTCAAAAATGCCACTACACATCATTATTGTGATATCAAATCTATCTTGACATGCTATAATGGCATCAATACCTATGGACCAACATGCCACCTCTCCCTCTATCTCACTACAATAAAGTGTGGGCCCACTTGATCCCAACAGCGTTCTTATTTTCCTGTAAAATTATTCGCTTACTTACTCCTCACAAGTGGGGCCACACTTATCATTGTGAGATAGAGAGAACTGAAATTTGGGCCTGGGCTTTTTTTGTCACATTGGATGGTCAACAAGATTTACATGAAAATAACAATGTCTAATGGCATTATTGAGCAAACATCTAATGGAACGATGGCATTTTTGATACATCTAATGGCATTTTTGAGTAAGCATCTCACGAACCGATGGCATTTTTGAGCGGCTGTAACTTCTAAGGGAAAAACTGAGTAGTGGGATACAACTGGTGGCATAAATGATAAAAACCCTACAAAAGAACTAATTAAAACAACTCAACTAAAACATTGATGATATCCAATTTCTTTCTAAAATAGCCATTGCTTAGAGATAATCAATGTTTAAAATCATTGCCACAACCAGTTATGGAACATGTAAACCAAAGATCGATCAAGTGCAACCACACATGTACTCAACATTTTAATACCTTATTTGCCTTGTATTGACCAGGAAAAACCTAGGATATTACAAAATAAATGAATAAATACATAAAGGGGATAGATGACTAACCTCTTCTTCATTCTCGTCGGCGACGACCATAGGTGGGGGCAGGGGAGGCAACAACCGCGGCAGACGAATACCCGGCTGAGGCTGAGGAGCCACCACCTGCTTCGACAGAGAAGCCAGAGGAGCTACCTGTTCCGGATTATTAGCAGAATAATTTATATAGGTCAAAAACTGACATATACATACCTCAATAAATGTAATCTAGCTACACAGCTGCGGATCCAGGATTTCATACTTGGGTGTTCAAAAATTTATATTGCAAACTAAAACCACAACAATATTTTTCAAATGGAGGGAGTAATATGTAAAATTTTCATGTGAAAAGATTCTTTGTCCATCGTAATGACGCTACTGACACGAATGACAGAAAATGAAGATTATTTACTTCATGACCATAGAATATGACATTTTCATAAACAAGGCATGTGTTGTTATCCTTAAGTTGCAGAAAATATTTTCACAATCACCTACGTAGGCAATTCAATTCCAAGGTCAAGCTACGTATTTGTATTAGCACAGTCACCAAACCTAGCTGGATTTATTAGCAGAATAATTTATCTAGATCAAAATATTGCCTATACAGGGTGCAACACATGTAACCTAGCTACTTACCTAACACATCTATAGAATATTGATATGGAGTCCATCAACCAAAGATAAAAAGAAACCCTGGCCTTCCCCAAAAATAGACAAAAGGACTGACCAGAGCACACCTAGGATTTTACAAAAAAAATTAAAGGAGATAGATGACTAACGTTTTCTTTGTTGACATCGTCAACGACCACAGGCTCGGGCACAGGAGGTGTCACCCGCGGCAGAGGAGACACCTGCTCCGTCTAAGGAGCCAGAGCAGCTACCTGGTCCCACATAAATATCACAATATTTTATATAGGTCAAAAACTGACATATACATGCCTCAATAAATGTAATCTAGCTACACAGCTGCGGTTCTAGGATTTCATACTTGGGTGTTCAAAAATTTATATTGCAAACTAAAACCACAACAATATTTTTCAAATGGAGGGAGTAATATGTAAAATTTTCATGTGAAAATATTCTTTGTCCATCGTAATGACAGTACTGACATGAATGACAGAAAATGAAGATTTTTACTTCATGACCATAGAATATGACATTTTCATAAACAAGGCATGTGTTGTTATCCTTAAGTTGCAGAAAATATTTTCACAACCACCTACGTAGGCAATTCAATTCCAAGGTCAAGCTATGTATTTGTATTAGCACAATCACCAAACCTAGGTGGATTTATTAGCAGAATAATTTATCTAGATCAAAATATTGCCTATACAGGGTGCAACACATGTAACCTAGCTAGTTACCTAACACATCTATAGAATATTGATATGGAGTCCATCAATCAAAGATAAAAAGAAACCCTGGCCTTCCCCAAAAATAGACAAAAGGACTGACCAGAGCACACCTAGGATTTTACAACAAAATTAAAGGAGATAGATGACTAACATTTTCTTTGTTGACATCGCCGACGACCACAGGCTCGGGCACAGGAGGCGTCACCCGCGGCAGAGGAGACACCTGCTCCGTCTGAGGAGCCAGAGCAGCCACCTGGTCCCACATAAATATCAGAATATTTTATATAGGTCAAAAACTGGCATATACATGCCTCAATAAATGTAATCTAGCTACACAACTGCGGTTCCAGGATTTCATACTTGGGTGTTCAAAAATTTATATTGCAAACTAAAACCACAACAATATTTTTCAAATGGAGGGAGTAATATCTAAAATTTTCATGTGAAAAGATTCTTTGTCCATCGTAATGACGGTATTGACATGAATGACAGAAAATGAAGATTATTTACTTCATGACCATAGAATATGACATTTTCATAAACAAGGCATGGTGTTGTTATCCTTAAGTTGCGGAAAATATTTTCACAATCACCTACGTAGGCAATTCAATTCCAAGGTCAAGCTACGTATTTGTATTAACGTATTTGTATTAGCATAGTCACCAAACCTAGGTGGATTTATTAGCAGAATAATTTATCTAGATCAAAATGTTGCCTATACAGGGCGCAACACATGTAACCTAGCTAGTTACCTAACACATCTACAGAATATTGATATAGAGTCCATCGATCAAAGATAAAAAGAAACCCTGGCCTTCACAAAAAATAGACAAAAGGACTGACCAGAGCACACCTACGATTTAAAAAAACTAAAGGAGATAGATGACTAACGTCTTCTTTGTTGACATCGCCGACGACCACAGGCTCGGGCACAGGAGGCGTCACCCGTGGTAGAGGAGACACCTGCTCCGTCTGAGGAGAAGAGCAGCTACCTGGTCCCACATAAATAGCAGAATATTTTATATAGATCAAAAAATGTCATATACATGCCTAAACTAATGCAACCTGGCAACACAGCTTTGGACCCAGGATTTCAAAGTTGGGTGCTCAAAAATTTATATTGCAAACCAAAACCAAAACAATATTTTTCAAACGGCTGAGATCAAGTTGGCTTTTGAGTCTAGAAGGCATTCTTCTCACTGTGCTTCTGTTATTCCAGAAATTAAAGAGTTAGGAGTAATATCTAAAATGTTCATGTGAAAATATTATTTTTCCATCATACTGACAGTACACACATGAATGACAGAAAATGAAGATTATTTACTATGACATTTTCGTAAACAAGGCATGGTGTTGTTATCCTTTACTTGCAGAAAATATTATGCTGAAAATAAGCAACCAAATAATATATATCAAGTATGGATGATAACAAGTCTACAAAATTACAGCCTATGGTAATTGGACTCGAGGAATCAAGCAATTGGTGTTGAGCAAATTGAATGACAAAAAATGTGTCTGCTAGATTAAGCATGAGAGGCTAGTTTTATACAAATTGACATGAAGTTTAGTGCACAAACTACACCACTTTTAGTCAATTTAGCAATAAAAGAACCATATATAAGAAATTTTTGGCAAAAATTTCGGGTGGTTGGTAGATCTATCTTAAAATTTGGCATCAACACATTTTGGATGCACGAGAGCCATGGATCGGAGTGGTTGGTAGATCTTAAAAACAAGATAACCTATACAATGAGGAGCCGACCCCCACACCCATCCGCCCATGTGGAATCGCCCTTGAAACCTACCGGATCTAACGAATCTAGGTACGGATTTCATAGATGGACTAAAAGCAGAAACCCCAGCCATGCCAAAAAATAGATAAGGGACTGAACAAGGAAACCTAGGACATTTCCTAAAATAGGACTGACCTCTTCTTCATTGTCGTCGCCGTTGACATTGACAACGGGCTGCGGCAGAGGAGGCAGATGGCGTGGCAGAGGAGGCAGATGGCGTGGCAGACAAGTCACCTGCTCCGGCGGAGGAGCCACCTGCTCTGGTGTAGGTGACACCTGCACCGAAGCCTGGACGTGGTCGACGACATCAAGGCCGCCCTGCTGCCGGCTGGACCCCTTGCCGGCGGGGAGGGGTTTCTCCATGTGTGGCTTCGCACGGTGCTTGGATGCTTTGTGCGCCATGGCGTCGGCCCCGACATCGGCCCTCCCTCCCATGGTCCGCTTGGGCATCTCGACAGCGGAGGTGCAGCAGCGGGAAGGGAGTAGCGACGGGATGGGTGATACGTCCATTTTGCATCATGCTTTTATGACAATATTTATTGCATTATGGGCTGTTATTCCGTGCTATGTCACGATACTTATGTCTATTCTCTCTTATTTTACAAGGTTTATATGAAGAGGGAGAATGCCGGCAGCTGGAATTCTAGGCTGGAAAAGGAGCAAATATTGGAGGCCTATTTTACGCAACTCCAAAAGTCCGGAAACTCCACGGAATACCTTGAAATAAATAAAGACAAATTGTTGCCAAAGATGAAGGCCAGGAGGGCCCACACCCTACTCACGAGGGTGGGGGGCGCCCCCCTGGGCGCGCCCCCTACCTCGTGGGCCCCCTGGTGGCTCTCCGACGCCCATCTTCTCCTATATGAAGTCTTTCGATGAGAAAAAAATAGAAGAGAACCTTTTGGGACAAGACTCCGCCGCCATGAGGTGGAACCTTGGCGGAACCAATCTAGGGCTCTGGCAGAGCTCTTCTGCCGGGGACACTCCCCACCGGGAGGGGGAAATCATCACTATCGTCATCACCAACGCTCCTCTCATCGGGAGAGGGCAATCTCCATCAATATCTTCACCAGCACCATCTCATCTCCAAACCCTAGTTCATCTCTTGTATCCAATTCTTGTCTCCAAGTCCGGGATTGGTGCTAGTAGGTTGCTAGTAGTGTTGATTACTCTTTGTAGTTAATGCTAGTTGGTTTATTTGGTGGAAGACCATATGTTCAGATCCTTTATGCATATTATTACCCCTCTGATTATGAACATGAATATGCTTTGTGAGTAATTAAGTTTGTTCCTGAGGACAAGGGAGAAGTCTTGCTATTAGTAGTCATGTGAATTTGGTATTCGTTCGATATTTTGATGAGATGTATGTTGTCTAACCTCTAGTGGTGTTATGTGAACGTCGACTACATAATACTTCACCATTATTTGGGCCTAGAGGAAGGCATTGGGAAGTAATAAGTAGATGATGGGTTGCTAGAGTGACAGAAGCCTAAACCCTAGTTTATGCATTTCTTCGTAAGGGGCGGATTTGGATCCACATGTTTCATGCTATGGTTAGGTTTACCTTAATACTTTTGTTGTAGTTGCGGATGCTTACAATAGAGGTTAATCATAAGTGGGATGCTTGTCCAAGTAAGGTCAGTACCCAAGCACTGGTCCACCCACATATCAAATTATCAAAGTACCGGACACGAATCATATGAGCGTGATGAAAACTAGCTTGACGATATTCCCATGTGTCCTCGGGAGCGCTTTTCCTATTATAAGAGTTTGTCCAGGCTTGTCCTTTGCTAAAAAAAGGATTGGGCCACCTTGCTGCACCTTATTTACTTTTATTACTTGTTGCTCGTTACAATTTATCTTATCACAAAACTATCTGTTACCACTTATTTCAGTACTTGCAGAGAACACCTTGCTGAAAACCGCTTATCATTTCCTTATGCTCCTTGTTGGGTTCGACACTCTTACTTATCGAAAGGACTACGATAGATCCCCTATACTTGTGGGTCATCAAGACTCTTTTCTGGCGCCGTTGCCGGGGAGTGAAGCGCCTTTGGTAGGTGGAATTTGGTAAGGAAAAATTTATTTAGTGTGCTGAAATTTTCTGTTACTTGTTACTATGGAAAGTAATTGTCTGAGGGGCTTGTTCGGGGTATCTTGACCCCGTCCAGCAGAGCAAAGAGTTGCTCCTCAACCTACTCAACCTACCGAACCTATTGAAAATGAAACTCCTTTGAGATTCCTTCGGGTTTGATGGAAAAACTGCTAGCTAAAACTTTTACAGGAGATGGAACAAAGCATCCTGATGAACATCTACGTTATGTGGATGATGTTTGTGGATTATTTAAGCTTGCAGGTATACCCGATGATGCTGTTAAGAAGAAGGCTTTCCCTTTATCTTTGAAGGGAGACGCATTGACATGGTACAGGCTATGTGATGATATGAGATCATGGAATTATAAAAGATTGAAATTGGAATTTCATCAAAAGTATTACCCTATGCATCTTGTTCATCGTGATTGCAATTCTATATATAATTTTTGGCCTCGCGAACGAGAAAGCATCGCTCAAGCTTGGGGGAGGCTTAAATCAATGTTATATTCATGCCCCAATCATGAGCTCGCAAGATAAGTAATTATGCAAAGTTTTTATGCTCGGCTTTCTGATAACAATCGCTCCATGCTCGATACTTCCTGTGTTGGCTCTTTCATGATGAAGAATATTGAATTCAAATGGAATTTACTGGATAGAATTAAACACAACTCTGAAGATTGGGACCTCGGCGAAGGTAAAGAGTCAGGTATGACAACCAAGTTTGATTGTGTTAAATCTTTTATGGATACCGGTATTTTCCGTAAGTTTAGCACTAAGAATGGACTTGACTCTGAGATAGTAGCTTCTTTCTGTGAATCTTTTGCTACTTATGTTGATCTCCCCAAGGAGAAGTGGTTTAAATATCACCCCCCCATAGAAGTGAAAGTAGCTGCACCTATTAAAGTTGAAGAAAAGATTGTCACTTATAAAGATCCTATTGTTCCTACTTGTTATGTTGAGAAACCACCTTTCCCTGTTAGAATGAAGGATCATGCTAAAGCTTCAACTGTTGTTCGTAAAAGCAGTATTAGAACTTACACACGTCCTGAACAAGTCAAAGTAGAACCTAATATTGCTATTGTTAAAGATCTCTTGTCTGATAATATCGATGGGCATGCTATTCAATTCCAGGGTGAGACTGCTAGAATTGCTAAACCTTGTGATAAAGATAAACATAGACCTGTTATAATAGGAGATCATTGTTATCATGGCCTATGTGATATGGGTGCTAGTGCTAGTGTTATACCTTATAAATTATATAAAGAAATTAAGCATGAAATTGCACCTGCTGAGTTAGAAGAAATTGATGTCACAATTAAACTCGCCAGTAGAGATACTATTTCACCAATGGGAATTGTTAGAGATGTTGAAGTCTTGTGTGGGAAAACTAAATATCCTTCTGATTTTCTTGTTCTCAGTTCCCCGCAAGATAGCTTTTGTCCCATTATATTTGATAAACTTTTCTTGAGTACTGTTAATGCTAAGATAGACTGCAAAAAGAATGTTCTTACTATTGGCTTGGATAATATGGTTCATGAGTTTAATTTCTCTAAATTTAGTAAACAACATCGTGAGGAAGAATTGCCTAGTAAGGATGAAATTATTGGTCTTGCCTCTATTGCTGTACCTCCTAGTGATCCTTTAGAACAGTATTTGCTAGACCATGAAAATGATATGTTCATGAATGAAAGAAGGGAAATAGATGAAGTATTCTTTAAACAGGAACCTATTCTGCAACACAATTTGCCTGTTGAAATCCTAGGGGACCCCCCTCCACCCAAGGGTGATCCCGTATTTGAGCTTAAACCGTTGCCTCATAATCTTAAATATGCTTATCTTGATGAAAATAAAATATATCCTGTCATTATTAGCGCTAACCTTTCAGAGCATGAAGAGGAAAGATTATTGAAAACTCTGAAGAAGCACCGTGCTGCTATTGGATATACTCTGGATGATCTTAAGGGCATTAGTCCCACTCTATGTCAACATAAAATAAATTTGGAAGCTGATGCCAAACTAGTTTGATCCTCAACGATGTCTGAATCCTAAAATGAAAGAAGTGGTAAGAAAAGAAATACTTAAGCTTCTGGAGGCAGGTATAATTTATCCCATTGCTGATAGTCAGTGGGCAAGTCCTGTCCATTGTGTCCCTAAGAAGGGAGGTATTACAGTTGTCCCTAATGATAAAGATGAATTGATCCCTCAAAGAATTATCACAGGTTATAGGATGGTAATTGATTTCCGTAAATTAAATAAAGCTACTAAGAAAGATCATTACCCCTTACCTTTTATTGATCAAATGCTAGAAAGATTATGTAAACATACACATTATTGCTTTCTAGATGGTTATTCTGGTTTCTCTCAAATACCTGTGTCAGCTAAAGATCAATCAAAGACTACTTTTACATGCCCTTTTGGTACTTTTGCTTATAGACGTATGCCTTTTGGTTTATGTAATGCACCTGCTACCTTTCAAAGATGCATGATGGCTATATTCTCTGACTTTTGCGAAAAGATTTGTGAGGTTTTCATGGATTACTTTTCCATCTATGGTTCCTCTTTTGATGATTGCTTAAGCAATCTTGATCGAGTTTTGCAGAGATGTGAAGAAACTAATCTTGTCTTGAATTGGGAAAAGTGCCACTTTATGGTTAATGAAAGTATTGTCTTGGGGCACAAAGTCTCTGAAAGAGGTATTGAAGTTGATCAAGCTAAGGTTGATGCTATTGAAAAGATGCCATGTCCCAAGGACATCAAAGGTATAAGAAGTTTCCTTGGTCACGCCGGAATTTATAGGAGGTTCATTAAGGACTTCTCAAAAATTTCTCGGCCTCTGACTAATTTATTACAAAAAGATGTACCATTTATCTTTGATGATGATTGTGTAGAAGCATTTGAAATACTTAAGAAAGCACTAGTCTCTGCACCTGTTGTTCAGCCACCTGATTGGAATTTACCCTTTGAAATTATGTGTGATGCTAGTGATTATGCTGTAGGCGCTGTTTTAGGGCAAAGAGTTGATAAGAAATTAAATGTTATCCATTATGCCAGTAATACTCTAGACAATGCTCAAAGAAATTATGCTACTACCGAAAAGGAACTTTTAGCAGTGGTGTTTGCTTGTGATAAGTTTAGACCTTATATTGTTGATTCCAAAGTTACTATTCACACTGACCATGCTGCTATTAAATATCTTATGGAAAAGAAGGATGCAAAACCTAGGCTTATTAGATGGGTTCTTCTGCTTCAAGAATTTGATTTTCATATTGTTGATAGAAAAGGAGCTGAGAACCCCGTTGCAGATAACTTATCTAGGTTAGAGAATGTTCTTGATGACCCACTACCTATTGATGATA